TCAAGGTTTTATAAGCTTAAATGCTCGCATTGCTCTGTTCTGTGTTGCGCGTTCGTGACTCTCCTGTTCAAACTCGTTTATCATCAAAATGAACTAATCTTTTTTCGTGTCATTTGGTTGATTCAACAAACGAAATGAACGAGTTGACTCTGGAAAAGATTCATTCATTTTGATGAACGAGTTCGAACAGGAGAGTCACGAATGTGCATCACAGAACAGAGCAAGGCTTGATAAGATACTTATTCATCGTCTGGAATCGTTTTAAGCCCTTTGAACAGTTTGCAATTAGCACTGAAACTGTCTTTTGGACCTTGAACCATTTGGTTCCCATTGAAGTCCATTATATGGAGAAAAATCCTGGAATGTTTTCATCAAAAACCTTAATTTCTTTTCGACTGAAGAAAGAATGACATGGATATCTTGGATGACATGGGGGTGAGTAAATTATCAGCAAAAGTTTTTTTTTAAAAAAATGACCTACTCCGTTAACTACATTTGTAGTATGTGCAAAAATCATAATGTGTTTTAATAATAATAATAAAAAAACACCTATGAACTAGACAACTATTTAACTAGTCAGTTGTTGGACAACAACATTTTAAATGTATAAGGCAAACAAATTAGCTAAAACAAGACTACTAGTTGACTGCAGAAACATCAGTTTTCACAACCGAAGTAAATTCTCTACAACAAGCAATTTGAAAACATCCGTATTTTCTATTTACGTTTGCAATACGCCAAAAAAAAAAAAAAAAGCCTGATGGATGCAGGCAGGGCATCATAATCAAACAGATGATGTGGACTGGAAATAGGAGACATACATCTGACATTTCACATTCATCCACACTAATGCAGTGACAATTATTTCAAGTGCACTTAAAAATAGCTGTGAAGGGCTGATCAACATCTCACGGTATTCAGAATAGTAAATTATTGTGTAAGGCTGTAAGCAACACACGGTCCCCAGACAATATGAATGATAATTAGATACAAGAAACAGACGAAACAAGAGTGGTTAATGAGATGAAATTAGAGGAGGGTAAAAACAGGCTCTTGGAATGCTTGGAAGTATAAGATTATTAGCTTGCCTAAATTGGTTTAGATCACAGTGCAGAGATGCACATGCTATAGAGTAACTACAGGCTGACCCTCATGAAAGTGGCAGGTTTATTTTTTTTACATTCTCCAAAATGCACAAAGATATGTCTAGATGACGCCAACAAGCTCACGTCCTCAAATTGTGCCCGTCCTGTAATTTTGAGATTGGTAGGACAGGATAGGTCACAGAGAAAGACAGAGATGGCAGAAAGAGAACATTAGCAGAGATTTGTATGCAGAGAGGTGATTATATGAGCCCTCTTATGAACAGAATACTAAATACACACACACACACTCACACAGAGTATATCGATCCGTCATTCACACTGTGCCCTCTTTAAGATGGATACCATGGTAGGGCTGCAAGATTTGTAAGCAAAAAAAATCTGAAAATAATTGCAAATGTGATTTAAAATGTGATTTTTTTTTTTTTTTTTTTTTCAAAAAACTAAATTAAGCTTTAGGTATGCTGTGCCGGAGCAGCACGATTTGTCCAAAATGTTGTGATAAAATAATAATACAAATATTTATTATTACTATTATTATTATTATTAGAAAATAATATAAAACAAAATAATGCATTTTATTGTACTATTTCACTGCAAAAAAAAAAAAACAATTTAAGATTTTTTTTAAAAATGTAATAATTTTGAAATATATTTCAGAAAAATAATATAATGAATTTTATTTTACGATTCAACTTTAAAATGAAAAAAGTTGCATGTTGCTTTCCCAAATGCATGTTATAAGTGCAGTGCTCTGGAACAAACCATGCATATATTTGACTAAATCACAGAAATGGTTTTATTTCGACATGGGGCTCTGATTGCAGGTGATGAATTAATCATAATCCACATAACCTACGTTTGCATTATAATGGCTGCCATGGACATTGGTTCTATGAATATTCGCATTTAAAACAGCTGAAAAGGACATTGTGACACAAATGAGCATCCAATGAATCCACACGATAAGCAAATAAAGAAAAAAAAATCAGCAAGTGAGAGAAGAAACCAGTCCGCAGAAGAAGAAACAGAGATCAGAAGGCGCTAACAAAATCGAGGTGACAGTGAGAGGGAAAAAAAGAGAGAATGGAAGAAGGGTATTGAGGGTCAAAAACAGAGAGGTGAGAGAGAAAAGAGAAATGAGGCCTCTTTCTTTCTACCTGCCAGCAGTGCGTGACTGGTGTCTCAAGAAAGCTCTAATCCACAGGCAGCTACAAATCAATCACAGCGGGTGTATATTTCAGATATAGTCCTGCTGAGAATATCCCACTCCACGTGAGTCTCTAAACTCAGACCACTCCACAAGCTCAATTGGCCCTCTCTATTGGAAGTCTCCATTCAGTATATGAAGCAAAAATCATTTTGGGAGAACTGATATTTCATTTGAATTGGGGAACGTTAAGACCCTTTGTGACCACTTATGGCAAAGGAAAGTGTCATTTTACAGTCATTTAGTTCTTTACAACCAAGATACCAATAAAAAGCATTTACAGTTAATATTGTTATTATGTCATGCTACACTGATACCTGAAAACTATAGCAACAGCAACTGTCACTGTATGGCATTTTCTGTTTGTTTGTTTTTTTGTGAATAAGAAAATCCATCAAATGGGATTAAAAAGGCTTAGAAATATACAACCTGCCCAAAATATTGAATTTGGTGGCTTCACACTACTTAGCAATAGCAGATCTAGGCAGGTGGAGCTGGAGGCTTTCAGAGGAACTCAGGGAAAGATGCACTGCAGGACTAGATTACAACAGACTATTTAAATGTTGAACAAGCAGTCTCATTGGCTGCAGGATCAGAAGAGACCAATGAACTTGTTCCCTGCAGTAATGATGCAATTGCTAGCGGATTGCATGTATAGGACCTATCAGCCTGTGCTCTCTATGGTTTCATGACTGAATACAATATTTATCTGATGGACTCCATTTATCAGTTTCTCTTTGTGTTACTCCATTATGGCATTGAATGTTTACCATGGTAATGTATTTGTGAGTTTCAGAAGGAGCTGCTACAAAGGAATAGAGATGCCAAGTTGGTGACAGTGCCATTATAACAGCAGAGGGGACTGGTGAAAGACACTGGCATTTAGAGGCAATGGCCCATCGGGTGCAGTTCAGTTTGCATCAGCTCTTAGACCGAGGCAATAAAAACATCTACAGACTACAGGAGCGCAAGCCTTCAGAAAACAGCATTAAATAGGCCATATGCTGATATTTCATTTGGAGTCTGGACTAATTCAAATTCAGTACTGATTGCAATTCACAACATTTGACAAATGATGCCTGGAACACCTGCAAAATACTGTAATACAAACCCTCGGGAAACACAAGAGAGAGAGGAAATAAATGCAAACGCAGCTGAATTGAATGAAGGAGCAAACATTGATCAAATAAATGCTACCTTGCTGGGGAAAAAAAACTTCTTTTAAAGACTTTTAAAAGGTACAATAGAAACTTTTAAATGGTAGTGTAGTGTTATGCATTGTTACGTTGATATCCAGCTAAGCTATGCAAATGAACAAGTATTGTCTATGCCAAAAAACACATTAAACTGAAACAGCCATGAACATGAAAAGTCTGCCAGAAAGCAGATTAAATCGGACTGGAGACATATTACAGCGAAGCTACAGTTGCTGGTTTGTTAACTTTCTTGCTCAATTGCCTTGTCTAAATAAGGCTAACCCGTGGAGCTGTCAAAAAAAAAAAATCTAGCATTTCTTCTTTTGTGAAAGTCCTGCTTGCTCCACAAAGCAATTTCTGTTTGAGAACTCTTGAGTGAATCAAGCATTTGAGCAAAAATTTGGTCCCAGCAGTCAAGCACATTTCTTATTTTTTTCTTTAAAGAATCAAAGCTACTTTTTCTGAATGTAAGAGGTTGCGGTAACACTTTATAATAACTGCACGCTATTAATCATTAGTTAAGCATGAGTAAACCGTTAATTCATCATTTATAAAACATTAATAGACATTAATATGCAGTTTATAAATATAGCTATACATGCTTTTTCTTGATTTATAAGCATATCTATAATGCGTTTAATGATTGTATTTTCATACTTTGTTAATGATCAATTAATAATTTCTAAATGAATTATAGCATTATTTACAAACCAGTTGTTTAAGAGTTGTCAGTCATTCATAAGATCACTTAGAAAGTGTAAGTAAATGTAGTAAATACAGGTAGTTACTATAAGCATTTAGTAGTGGTCAGTTAACTATTTTTGTGAGCTAATCTAAAGTGAGGACTATTCATGCTTTGTAACGCATTTATAAAGGCGATTTAAAGACTCGTCAATCTTCTAAACAGTAAAATGTAACAAACACAACGCAGTGATACAGAACATAGAAATATTACAAGGCATTACTAGTCCTCACTTTAGATGAGCTCACGAACATAGTCAACTGACCACTACTAAATGCTTTATAACTACCCAAATTAATCCTTAATTACAGCATTAATACATGTTAATAAAGCATTTATTAAAACATTAAGTAACCATCACTATATGTCTGAATAATAAGATGTATGAATGTACATTTAAATAGTTTATTAATCATTTACTTACTCGCTCTAAGTAATCGTATGAACCACTGAAAACTCTTAAATAACTGGTTCATAAAAAATGCAATTCTTCATTTAGAAATGACAAATTGATCATTAATAAAGGATGAAAATACAATTATTAAACAAATCATAGATATGCTTTTAAATCAAGAAGAAAGCATTTATAGCTGTATTTATGAACTGCTTATTAATGTCTATTAATGCTTTATGAATGATGAATTAATGGTTTACTCATGCTTAACTAATGATTATTAGCGTGTAGTTATTATAAAGTGTTACCGAGGTTGCTTATGAAACAAGACGGGACGGTTGTACTTGTAACTTACTGTTGTTTGTGTGAGAGCTCTTGCTCCTTATTGACCAGATCTTGCTTAAGGCTGGCCAGCATCTCCACCGACACGTCCACTTGCCGCGAAAGCTCTGTGGCCTTGTCCTCCAGGTCTTGTTTCTCTTGACAGAGCCTCTCACTCTCCAGCTTTGCCTTTTCCAGCTCCGAGCTTTTCCTCTCCAGCTCCGCCTGCAGACGGCCAACACGTGCCGAGATCTTTTGTTCCACCTCCTCCGACAACTTCTCGAGCCTCTCGTCCAGCTCGAGCCTCTCAAACGCTCGAGCCTTCAACCGAGCCAAGCCCTCCTCATAAGCCGCCTCCACCGCACTAGCCGCCACGTTAGCGGCTACTGCCACAGCATTGTTCCCTGTGGAGGTCAAGGTGTCGCCGGAGCTCATGGCTGTCTTCACCAGGATCTCGCCCAGGGGAAACTCTACATTGGGCAGGTAGCAACCAGTAGACGTGGGGGCAAGACCAAGCTCTTCGCCAGAACAGGGCAACTCACGGTACGGAAAACGAGATTCGGCAGCGAGGGCTCCGTCGGCCACTAGGGGGAGCAGCGCAGCAGCGTCGCATACGCTGTTGGACTTCGACAGCACATACAGGGTCTCGTAGGTGTGGTTGTACTCCAGATGGGCGCGTAGAGAGGACAGACTTCGAAAGCGCTTGTGTTCCCCACAGCGAGGACAACGGTACGGCAGGTCCAAAGAGGCCATTCCACGCTCCCGTGGCTGCCACGATGGAGCAATCTGCTCACGCCACCAAGCGATGCCAAGAGCAAGCAGGGACAGCGGCCGGGCACCACAGAGGAACACTCATCTCAGATCCGCTGGGATTGCTAAAGGCTGAGCAAGGAACAGGGGGTCATCACACATGCTCCTCCTGAGTCACAAGTTCTTCAATTAGTTTAGTAAGGTCTTGACTGCTGCTGTCAGGCCTCTTTCTGGCACTTCCTCAGGGTCAAAACCTTTTGTTCTAGTAAAAGAGGGAAAAGGAACAACACACAAAAAATTAAAAAATATTACAAAAATGGTCACAAAAATGTCTTTCTGATTTTGATATTACGCAAACTCGGTGGGCACAGCACAGACATGGTTGCTACCTGACACATATAAAAAGCTGATGCCAGCTCAATGGAGGCACTAATTTATATTTGTGTATTGCAATTTACTGCAAAGATGGAATTACCAAGGGTTAAGTTTAAATCTGTTCCTGAACTGGAAATCATTCCTTTTGTCAATTCTTAAAGGATTAGTTCACTTTTGAAAAAACTTTTGCTGATAATTTACTCACCCCCATGTCATCCAAGATGTCCATGTCTTTCTTTCCTCAGTCGAAAAGAAATTAAGGTTTTTGATGAAAACATTCCAGGATTTTCTCCTTATAATGGACTTCAATGGGAACCAGGCCAGAGTCAGAGAACAACCGAGGTGTTTACAAGTTGAACGCATAGGTTGAACGTGAAAACTAACTCAAACGCCGTTTACAAAAAAGGAATTAAAAGGTAAAACAACGATGTCGGATTCTGTACTTCCGGCTAGTTCGCCCGTGACCTTTTGAACGTAATTACGTATTACGTGACGTTGCAAACGTGCCTAACAGTATATTACAAGGCTAGCATTTGTCCTTAGAAAAGTTACATTTTTGGAATAAGCTTTGAAATAACCGATCGTTTCGCATGATAAGACCCTTATTCATTGTCTGGTGTCGTTTAAAAACATTTGAAGCTGCATCTGAAACTGTTAATAACTGTCGTTTGGACCTCGGTTGGACCTGGTTCCCATGGAAGTCCATTATAAGGAGAAAAATCCTGGAATGTTTTCATCAAAAACCTTAATTTCTTTTCGACTGAGGAAAGAAAGACATGGACATCTTGGATGACATGGGGGTGAGTAAATTATCAGCAAAAGTTTTTTCAAAAGTGAACTAATCCTTTAACATCCTTAATTTCCACTACTCTGCATGCACATGAACAAAATGAACATAGCAAAATGAACATTTGTGTACAGTGGTAAAATAAACACAGGACAATTTAAAGAATGAGTTAAGTAGTACATGATTTAAAGTTTTTCAATCTCTCAGAGTGGTTTCAGCCTTTAAGGAACTGAGAATTGACTCACATAGAGCTGATTTAGCTGAATATGCATTTATATGCACTAATGGAAATTAACATACTCTGTCCGGGCCTCAATCAAGAAGAACTACGTGGTCATTACTCATTGATTGTTTGGCATTAAATCAAGGAATCGTCTCTTAACAACACTTAAATGGACAAGGAGGCACCTATTGTGTGAAATTAGTTGTAGTAGTAGTTCACGTGCCATGATAGTTCATCTAACTATTCCCAAAGAGACACTTCATCAATATAAGACAAGTCTAAATGTATAATGAATCCCCATTAGTGTTGCCCAGTCTTCTATAGACCATTTCACAAGATGTAAACAACAAGCACTTCCTGTTTCAGTTTGTAACTGTTTTCTTTATTTCACATGTAAAGAAAACATCTTGAAGATGTTTGTTTACCTTTTTGATTCAGTTTTAAATGTTCTGTTGGTTGTATTTTATTCCAGATTTTATGTAGTGTTAAAAAACTGAAACAGGAAGTGCTTCTGGACCAGTGTTGTTTACATCTTGTGAAATGGTCTATAGCTGTTCCCTTTTCATTTCCCTGATATTGTAAACAAAGCAGATAACAATATGAAATGATGATGAGTTATTCTAACACACATGATCCTGAAATGAATTTCAGCCAAGGCTCCAGTGAATGAGAGTATTATATTAATTCATAGGGATTATATGAGCTTAATTCCAAAAATTAATCCAAGATACTGAATCAAATAATCTGCCATGGCATGTCATGAGCAGTGCATTTAACAAGTAATATAATGGAGTACAATGGAAACTGCTAAACTGTCCAGAAATCCTGGCTCCGGATTTCTCATTTGTCTTCTTAATACAAATTCTTCATTAATTTTAAGCCTAGAACCAAACCAATCAACCAAGATATATTTGATTTAAAGTTAAAAAAAGAAAATAGAAGTATTTGAAAATAGAACAAATACACAAATGATTGAGCAGTCATTCATAACCAAAGGAAACGAATCAGAAATGATAAGATATAAAACTTACCATTTAAAAGTCTGGGTCAGTAAGATTTTTTTTTTTTTTTCAAAGAAATTAATACTTTTAATCTGCAAGGATGCATGAAATGACAGTAAATACTTTATCATTGTTACAAAAAATCAGTATATTAGAATTATTCCTGATGGATCATGTGAAAGTAATGATGCTGAATGTTCAGTTTTGGTTCAGGAATGGATGAGCAGATGGACCGTTTAGAGATCAGAAGTTATAAATGGAAAAAAAAAACCATTGTATTATGAATTTACATTAGACAAAACCCTACTGACAAATTATTTGAAATCACTAACCTGGTTTCCATTGCACAGGATGGTCTGTTATGATGGTTTTAGTCAGTTTGGGAAACCAAGTAAGACCAGTAAACCACTTTAGTTTACAACTATTTAAGTGACAAGTGCATACTCCAGGGATTTAGTCTGAGGTAATAAAAATGAGTGTGATTTTATAAGGAGTGACATTGAGCTGGGTTGACTGAACTATATTTCATTGTAGAAAATGTGAGAGGAGGAAAACAAACCTGACAACATGCTTAAACAATCATGTCAAAAGTAAACCTAGACCACATCTGCTGTCCTTGGCTAATCAAATCACGTTTGGTTACCTTATCCCATGGGGTACAAAACCTGGGCTCTTGCCCTGAGGGTGCTTGCTGATATAAGGACATCATCATTACAGCATCTATTGTGACACACATTTTAAAGTGCAGAAATACATGAGAATCCTCAATCTGGGCAATCAGATTCATTATGTGGATGTCTTCATATGTCATTCTGTCAGGAGTGCTCATCATTATAGGTAAATTGTATTTTTTTTTCTGTCCCTATTGTGCCACAAATGAATTCTGTATGGGTTTGTCTCTCTCTATAACCTCTTTCCTCCTTTAGCTGAGGAGACAAAGAAAACATTGCTAAGGGGTCTTGAAGACTCTCGTCTCAGATATGTAATGGGATAACAAAATACTTTTGATTAAGGCCTCCTTAGCAAGCATTAGCAGCAAAAACATAACTAAAACCATTAAAGGACTCTTTTAACAGCAGCCATTTATGACTGAGATATAGCCTGGTGCTATAAATGAGCGGCTATATCACGGTCAACATTCTTGCAATCAGCTCTGACCTTGATGACGGAGAGCCGTTTGAATCTTCCAGACAAACTGCTGCTTTCAAGATGGAGGTTCATTGTTGCCACGGATACAAGCTCAGAATGTGAAGCACAGTAATAAATGGATAGAAACAAGCCAGCCGGTAATGATGAAACCTCAGAGAGAGGCAACAAGGAAAGAAGGATGGGGTGAATAAGTCAAAGAATGCAGGACGAATGCTGGAATGGACTGAGAAGAGAGTAAATGACGGCGGATTAGTTTGTGTGGACATGGGCGGATGCAGAGACCTCCAAGAGATTGTGTTCCAATCATTGAACTAATGAGAAAATTGTGAATTAATAAATGCAGATTATGGCATATATATTTGTTACCATATTGGTTATTGGCTGATATTAGTATTTTTTTTTTTTAAATGTATTATTTTACATTTAATTCTTTATTTTCATATTTAGATGGCATTTACCGTCATCTAACGCTCACTTACGGTATGGTATGTTCAAACGCAAAAGGGGAAAAATTAGTCCTGGTTCAATTAGCGTTCACATTGACATTCTTAACACTGAACATGATTTCCATTAACGAGAGTAGATGTTAAAACTTAAAGATTTTTAATAATAAAACATTAATAAATGCTTTTATGATGTATATTTTGCCACGAAAGAATGCTGTGTGCTGGGTCAAATGTGCTCCTTGTAGTTTGTTCATGTTCCCGCTTAATGGTACACTTTGGCTGTGTCCATAGGATACTATTTTGAAGGGACAGCCATTTGTAGTGGAGTGCACTTATTCAATCCCACAATGCACTGCAATAACGAGTTTACAACCGATGTGAGCTCGGCAGCTAGAGAATACCCAGAATGCACTGTGAATACCCAGAATGCACTTCAATGTAGCTACAGCATAATATCATACAAGTATAAATTCATTTTTAATTGGTTATTATTTAATTATTTAATTTTTATTATTTATTAAATGATTTAATTGTTGTTTATAGATAGTTTCCATGACAGTGTTCAAGATAAATCTTTTCATTACTAAAGGAGCTGCCAGTTTGCGAAGTTTCAAATGATTATTAACCAGCAAGCACAACCCATGCAATAGCTGCAGCGAATTCACTCACTCGTTTTAATTCACTCCTTCAAGTGAACTGTATTAGTGGAGTAATTTAGGGAATAATGAATGGACACAGCCTTTTTCTTTCAACAAATAAAAAGCCACACCCATTACAAATCTAAATCTCATTGGATCCCTTTCTCATGTCTAATGAACACAAGCACATGGACTGGAAGCGATTGAAGGAAAACCATAAAAAGCATGGCATTTAACGCATCATGGACATCGTGAAATTACATATAAATAACACAACCTTATTTTTAGTGTTCTGATTGACTGCGATTATGTTTAAAACTTAATTTGTGAATGGAAAAAAAAAATTGCTCGTTGCATTGTGACAGAGTTTTAGCATTTAACTATAAAGGTTAATGCAAATCACATGTGTCCACGTCACTGGGCATTATTATATCAGGATGTGAGCAATGTTCTCTGTATTTTTATGCCATCAGTGCATTACATAATTTTCAGGATGACATCGTTGAATCCTAGTCATGGGAAGAGGCTTTGTACAAGCCGAATGCTGTCATTTCATCCGTTGAGCCAACACTATGACATTTATTTATTTATTTATTTGCTTTTTATATCTAGGAACATAAACTGAACAGTCATATTATTGTAAGCCAAACAATATTACAATTACAAATACTACAATATTACATATTATTCGTCCAAAACACACACATATATATATATATATATATATATATATATATATATATATATATATATATATATATATATATATTATACTGTATATTATATATATATTATATATAATATATTGAATATATTCAATTATATTGAACAGACAAATGTAGCTCTATAACAGAATTCATTGTAAAGCATTATCTGTTGTGAAGGGTCATTTCACTATGGGTTGTTGTAGCGCTTTACTTTCAACTTTAAAGGAAGTGTATTAATGGGTATAGAAAGAGTAACATAATCTCTCTTTTTTTTTGTTATGAGAAAAAAACATTCGTCCACACAATCATGCTGACTCGAAGCACAAACAAAACAATGTTCTTCCGCAAAATGCATGCAGTTTAGTTTATTAAGCGCAAGAGCTGTGTTTCTTTAGCTTTTTCTGCCATTCCTCACTGTGAAGGTAAGGAAGGGAACGTGCCCCACCTGTCCCCATGCATTCGCCCCAACAAAATGTTAATAAACTAGGCTTTAAGTTAAAATGTATTTTATTATCATGACATTTTAAAAACATAAACATGACAGTAGATACAAATAATAATACAATTGTGTTTGTATTTTGCCACTGATAACATCAAATTCAAAAAAGGAGAAAATAAAAGTGTGGACTAGTTGTGCTTTACTATTTTGTCACTTAGCAAACTGCATGCAAAAAGAACAAGCAAAACTGAAAAAGAATAATAACAATCTCAGGGCTTTTTCCTAGCTCAAAACGAGGCATAGGTGGTAAAATCCTAATAATGCACATATTTTCTATTTTTATAATAATAATTGTATTTGGTATTTTTCTAAGACTATCATATAAGCTACTGAGTTACCCCCACAGTATTGTGTGTCTGGTGTGGACCTCTGCACCCCTAGGGGGGTCCAGGGGCATGCTCCTCCGTAAGAAAAGTTTGTACTTTTTAAAGATAAATTCATAAATCTGGTGCACGTTGAAAGTTCAAAATGAAGTGATTAACTAATTTAGTGTCTGCAATGAGCCTGTTTTGTAGTAATCTCCAGAGCCAGAGACAGAGAGTGCTCACTTCTTGACATCACAACTATTCAGTGTTTTCAACCACATAATGTTAATAGGTTTCAGACATTTAAATTCACATAAGTAAGTTACTAAAAAAGCAATACATTTATAGTTTGTCAAATACACACTTATGTCTATGGAAGCGGAAATAATAATTATTATTTCCATTGTAATTAGACGACACATATTATTCATATCAAATTCACGTTGCATTCACGTTGCACTCCCAGTTCACCGGCCACTTACTTTCATGTATTTCGTGAGAAGTGGATGTATTGACGTTTGTTAAATCCAACAAATCCGATTCTCTAAAACGCGGCATAAACTAACGCCCATCACGTATAGCTCAACTAAGGCGTTTAAACAACAAAACATATCTACTTGTATAGCGGGTACCTCTAAAAAAAAATTAGCGTCCGAAATTTTTGCACGTTAACAAATAAATACTTCCTCACGTTATGTCAATCACGTTTGCACACTGCCTTCATAAAAAACAAGCGAATCGGGTTCGATTTTCTGCGTTTTTCACATCCGTAGCAACGAATATGAAAAAGCGCATACGAAAATTTCGGACTCAGTGTGCAATGGCCTTAAATCAGAAGTAAACCGGCTGTCAATGTATAGGCTTGGGGTCACTGTAGGCATATAACATGAAGGAGCATAGCCAGAAGAGCCAGATGGCATAGCAGCAGAATGCTTGGATGATTCTAGAAGCTGCCTCAACTAAACTGAAGACAGTGAAGGCCAAGGCTGCTCAGGATGGCCAATTCCAAAAGTTGAAGCCCTACAGGCGAAAGATTCGTCTGGCTCCTATCGATCCATGGGATTTCACTGAGCCAATTATCCCTCATTATCCACAGCTCATCACATGCCACTAGTCAGGGAAGACATCCCAATAAAGCACTAAAGGCCCTCTCACACTTGCATTACTGTATCACTAGCTGATGCAGACCAATCGATCACCCAATGTTATTTTCCATACAGGTTAGCAAACATTCACATCCACTGAGTGGATTGTTTGCTGTGGTTCAGTTGTAAGGAAATAAACAACACATTATTATTGTGTTAACAGACGCAATTAACACACATAACCGCTGCATTATCTTGCCTTTTGTGTGTTTCCCATTTAGATATTTGAGTTTAATCACCATCAGTATAGCCTGTGGTCAATCCTCTGTGCACTTTAAACACATTTACACTGCTCTCTGAAGCACACTGAAAAGAATAGTGGGGGATTTACTTCAAGAACGATGTTCACTCGTAAAGAAATGACAAAGAAATGAGAGTAAGACATTGAATTAAACATGAAATATTGAAGTAGACTGAATGGAATATTTTCTTGTACAACATAATCAACATAAGAACATTTTAACTGCTGTCACACCAAACTGGGATTACAGTTTGTGCAGCTCTGCTTAATAACAATAATTATCCCATAATGTTTTTCACCAACCGAATTGATTCAATTGATTCAATGTCAGGTCAATCATCTAGCTAAAGCGGCAGAAATAAAATACTTTCAAGACACTGTTTACTATTCATTTACAATGATATGAATATGGATTGTGCATTAAATGCAGTGTAACCGGAGAAAGTTTTGTGATCTGATCACTGATTGAAATGACCCACATGGCATTGACTGTAAGAGTTCATGCATCCTCAATTCTTGATTAATGTGCAATTTAAAAGCACCCAAAGTCACTTTAGATAAGTCTATCAAATCGGCAAATGCAATGTATAACCAAAGATTTAATAGTATGTGATATTAAAATGTGTCATTTTTTATGTTGCTAAACACATTTTTTACATACAGGATTATATCTGACCAAATAGCTCCCAAAAACCCAGTCAAAAACTCTACTTCCAACAACCAAAAATGACAGAAATCAGGTCTTATAATGCTGATATTTTTAGATTTGTTTTGTTCATTTTAAAAAGCAACTTGTCACACATTTCCCCCGACAGAACACATGAAATCTGAGAAAATGTGACTCCATACAAGAAGTAAACAAACCAGTATTGGGTATGCTTGAGATCAATAGTAGATCAGACACAGGGGACCACCAATGACTGAAGCAGCAAAAAATACTATGTCTCGTTGTCATTTTCCATTAACTCTTCTTAATATCATGGAGTGCTAAAAGAGAGGCAGCATTGACAAGCATGGACTTCTTTACAATAAGGGAAATTACATCTACACTGGCTCGCGCAGTCTCACTCAATGTTTTGTTTAATCAATCATCAAATAAGTCCAATTAAACTGCAGTTTGTAACTAACAATCAGACAGATTATTATTTAGACAAAGATTTTTTTAAAGCTCTTTTTAACCAATAACTGATCATTTCTTGAGATTTCTCTTACACCATTTAAAAGGAAATGAGTATTTACAGTAACAGTGTCTTTTTATATTTTTGTTTACGTAATTAATCAACTTTTTTCAACCATGCATTTCCAAGTGATAATATAGAACAAACACAAAAATATATTTGCATTAAGTGTTGCAAATTATGTTTTAATGTAGTCTAGCAAATAATTAATAATTAATCAAATTTAATATTTAGTTATAACTTTAGTATGACTTTGATTTTAGTTGAAAATGGAAGGCGTCAATAAAACTTCTTTTTGATTTTTTTTTTTCAGCTTAGGTCTACTCATAGCTGTTTTAAACCATAAAATGAAACATTGAAACAGCAGCCGTCAGTGTATTTAAGGGAAATGTATTTTATCAAAACAAAAGTAAAGGTAATTGTAAACAGCAATCATCATGATTCACGATTAGGAAATCTACCTACAGTAAAACTACAAAAAAAAAAAAAAAAAAAAAAAGTGTTGTTAAAGTGTTATAAGTAAACTGGAATCCTCCAGAAATGAAAAGGACAAATGATGGCCATGTTTACGTAGGCATCTGAAAAAGCTGCCTAGGTAGGCATCTCACTAGGTTTTGAAACACAAACTGTTATTTCTCAGGGGATCTCTCTCTAAATAATCAGGATTGTGCTCCGTGTCATTGACAGCTGATTCGGTCGTGGGCAAAATGTCATATATAAGATAAGGGTGGAGGCACTAAATAATCAGAGATGGAGCTCATGTTCTCATTCTCTCGGGTAGATGTGAGAAATGATACCGCATTCGGCTCTCTTTTCAAAGCCGTGGAGATGCCACATTTTATGAGACCAATAATAATAATGCCCAACGCAATTAATAGACGCAAAGGCATATATCTGGAGGTATGTTACCTCGCTGCAAATTCGTGCCCGACGGTGCAACCACGTTTCAACAGATTTTCACCATTTTTCTCCAATAACGTAGGCGAGTCTCGGTCCAAATCCGTCTCCTCGCGCCCTTTACATGACTGCCGCTTGCTAATATCAACAATACCGATGTCTAGAAACACACCGTTCCCATTGTCACCATCCAAAACATGTTACATGTGTCAGAAAGTGTGCCTCTCACCTCGCAGATCTGTGCCCATTTTCCGCCCGTGCCCAGCAGCCGCCGCTCCAGCAGGATGACGTCACGAGCGCCACTCTCTGCAGCAGAACAGAAGACAAGCGCGAACACGCGTCGCGTAGCGCAGGGAACTCATCAAAAGGGGCGTGTGTGACGCGTCGCTCACCGCAAAGAACAGAACGCATGCCCTACTTGTCCTGCCTAGAGTCGGGTTTTAGTTGACTGTGATTCAGCTTTTTTTGTAGCTGTGTATGCTACTGAAAATAAAAAAAGCCTTCATTGTAAATTGTTTTACCAGGCTGATGATGGAGGTGCACCACACAGTGTTGCTACATTTTATGTTTTGTAAATGTCATCATAACCATTTGTATATTTATTTATTTATTTATTTATTTTGCCTGGGAAGTGTAGTTTTCTGTGTAAAGACCTATGTATACCTTGTAAGGAAAATATTAAACATAATATTATAAAGACAAAAAAATTGCATTTATATTGTCATTAAAGCCAGAGCAGATTGTTAAAAAATATCAGGAAATATTATCTTATTCAAATATTATTTTATTTACTTTGTATTAAGTTGACAGTGTATCTTGTTTTGACACACAACGGTAATGTTAGGCCTGTATAAACATCACTATCAACATCAGTTGAAATTTAATGGATAAAAAAAGGATTCGTTTCCCGAGGACAATGGGGAACAGACATGCTGATTAAGATAAAAAGCGATGCTAACCTCAAATGCTCATAGAAGGTCGCTAAAATTTACTTCGTCAGTTAGATGAAGCCGTAGGATCGCGTCATGTAAGTGGCGCTAAAGGGCGCCTAAAACGTCAAATATTGAAGCATGGTCAAAGGTGACGCCTTGGGGTGAGAATGCGTTGTCTAAATTTACTACTTTCTTTCTCGCCCTAGACATAAAGAAACGGATAAAGGAAAGATTATCTTGAAATGAAGTCAAAAGGAGCGGCGAGATATAATAATGCGAACAATACTTAGTTAAAGGGTTCCTATAGTGCCCTTTTCACAAGATGTGAAATAAGTTTCTGATGTCTTCAGAGTGTGTATGTGAAGTTTTAGCTAAATAATGTTAAAATTGTCACTTTTTGAGGGTGAGCAAAAACAGTCGTGATGGCACATTTTCGGTAGTGACAGTAATGTAGCCCATTGGTAGCGACCACATCACAGTACAGAATTTTAACTCACATACTAAAGCACTTCTACATATGATACTAATGATTTGCATACCTGTACTAAAGTTTTGTTTATTTTCCCCCAATTAAGTGATTATGTGTTTCCTTTTGTCACTACCAAAACAATGATGGCAGGCATGTTTTGGTCATGACTGTTTCGGTAGTGACAATTTTACACACTTTTAAGCCTAGCTCAAAAATATAAATCAGCAAATGGTTAACTTGCACAGTTCTGAACAGTTGAACACACACAAAAACTATACTTTTTTTTTTTTTCCGAATAACACTCAAAAAAAACATGATGTCACTGGACTCACTACCGAAACTTCACCACATGTTTCGGTAGTGACTGTTTTGGTACTGACAATTTTAAGATACTTTTGAACCTAGTTCAAAGAAGATGATAACCATGACATGGCAACCTAGCACAGTTCTGAACAGTTGTATGCACATAAAAACTAAATTTTATGGAATGACACCCAAAAAAATGTTTGCTTAATTGCAGAAAAAAAGTGTTATGGTAGTGATGTTCCTTAAAGTTACAAACAGATTTTCAGACTTTTTAACATATTTTCCTCAAAATGATGGTACAGTATATGAAAGAGATGCTATGAGAGAAAGGTACACAGAAATATTTCCTGATCAAAAATGGACAAAACATACACTGTTTCGGTAGTGACATGAAAATCCTGGACACTTGTTTTTTTTTTTTTTTAAGTTTTAATGATTTAAAAATAAAATAAAATAAAATAAATGTTTTTCTGAAAATGAAAAATCAAAACGAAATCAAAATAATACACCTGCAAACTTCCCTTAGCACTTCCCCTCGGGGGGAATAGCTGCCATTAATAAGTGCCGAGAGAAGTCTAAATGGACAGACCCTCGCTCCCTTGATTTTGACAGAGGGAGTGAGTACTTCATATGTAGGCAACACTTCAGGCAGCCGATATACCACAAAGCAACATGATTGTGAAAATAGGAATCAAACACACCTATAGGCTATAGTAGAATGCTGCATTCAACAATTTCGTTTCGTAAGGTTTGAAATTTCGAAAGGTCAATTTTGAAAGTCTTGACGGTCTGAAAAGACATGAGGGTGAGTAAATTATGACAGAATTTTCTTTTTTTTTTTTTTTTTGGTGAACTAACCTTTTAACAACTGTTTTTTTTTTTTTTTTTTTTTTTTTTTTTTTTTTTTTGTCCAGCTGAATATTAAATCATGTTTGAAACATGTCTAATCTTTGGTGTTCTAATATTTTGCCTGTTGTCTCCCTAACAGGGTCCAGAAGTTTGTTGTGTGACAATGATAAGTAGGTGATCCAATATAACAAGCTCAGACAGAGACATGGAGGACATCACTACAATAAGACATTAGCGCCATCTTGTGGTAGCATTATAAATAGGCACAAGGCACCCTCTATCTATCTATCTATCTATCTATCTATCTATCTATCTATCTATCTATCTATCTATCTATCTATCTATCTATCTATCTATCTATCTATCTATCTATCTATCTATCTATCTATCTATCTATCTATCTATCTATCTATCTATCTGTCTATCTGTCTATCTGTCTATCTATCTATCTGTCTATCTGTCTATCTGTCTATCTATCTGTCTATCTGTCTGTCTGTCTAACTATCTATCTGTCTGTCTGTCTGTCTGTCTAACTATCTATCTGTCTGTCTGTCTGTCTGCCTGCCTGCCTGCCTGCCTGCCTGTCTGTCTGTCTGTCTGTCTGCACTGGATGGCTACTTCAACCAAAGCCCCTGTATGTAGACATGACCTACAGTAACATTTCATCAGACCTTCATCCATTCCTTATTGCAGATATTAATGCAACGTTATCTGCAAGGGAATATTCCATGGTTGTGTGCGTTCCGGTGTCCTTGAATGGCCTTTTTATTGAGACCAGTAATTCTGAAACACCTGCTGTAGATGAAACACCGTCATCTTCAGCAGTAATCAATTAAAGGAAGTGTTCTCCCCCTAACCTTCCACACACACACACACGTTCTCTCTAAAGTCTTTAATTCAGACATTTCAAAAAGTGACAACCACACTATGGGCTAATTACTAGCCTGTCATCTACCTTTGTATTTTGATGGATTCCATTCATGATGTGCTTTGCTTTTCCTATAGCTTTTTAGCAATAAATGCTTACTGAGGGTATTATTAGCTACTGTTTGCTTAGCAACGATAGCATGTGTCTGAAAAGTGTCGGTTTTTTTCACTGTAATTTAAACACTGAGACATTAGAGACATGCAGGATTGGAGCAAAGCAAGAAATTAGAATGAAATCTAGCATAAATTGAACAATACTGTGAATAAAATGGCATGTTCTGCATGATAATAAAATGTGCATTGCTTTAAAGGCCAATTGGAAATCAGTGCACCTGCTGCAAAAAAAAAATATGCATTTCTCACATCCTGTATTACAAGGGTACTATCAACAGGGGACAGCAAAAGATAGAGCTTCTCAAAGGGGGGCAAACAACTGCATGTTCCACAACCACAACACAGTTGCATGTTAGGTTAATATGAGATCATGGCAAAAAGAAATATGAATCTAATTGTCATTATATTTATTGTAGGAAATCACTTTTTTAATACCCAGTAAATAAAATTAAACATAAATGTAAAGTGTAAATATATTGTCTATTTTAAATATTACTGAAAAGAACAGGAATTATTAGAAAGATGATAACTGCAATATTCACATCAATATTTGTCATAGACTCAGACTGACACATCAAATAAAATAAAACACTTAAAAAAATATATATATTATTGCTGTAAAATTAATTAATCAAGAGTGATTGCATCTAACAAAAGTTTGTAAATGTGTATGTGCTAAATTCTGTTACATTGGATTTGACATTAATCATTCTTCGACTGTTAGATTCTCAAATACACACATACACAGAGAGAGAGAGAGAGAGAGAGAGAGAGAGAGAGAGAGAGAGAGAGAGAGAGAGAGAGAGAGAGACTTAAAGTTTGTTTTCTCTGTGAAAAAAAATGTGATCCAAACAATGAAAAGGCAAGTGTGCTAATAATACAACTCAAGTGGCCATTGAGCATAATGAGAGCATAAAATGAACAAGCAAGACTTAAGAGAAGGGCACGATTTTAACCGGCATACAGCATGCACATCAACCTAGATTAGGCACTAAATGCACAAAACCAGATTTAGAAGATTGTGGGCTTACTGAAGACTTTGCAAATTTCACAGGCATAATTTCACAAGATTGTGCAATAAAAAAAATCGAATAATCTTTATCTGTTAATGACACTGTGCAGATAAATGTGTGAAAATCACGTTCAGCAATGACAATACAGACCTCTGCATTCTTAGCTTGAGCCACAGATGTTGCCATAGTAACAGAGTATATCTTATCAAGTATGGCTCTTGTGTGTGTGTGTGTGTGTGTGTGTGTGTGTGTGTGTTTTTCTGGAACTTATTTGGGCTTTCAGTGTAGGTATGACAACAGGCTGTTGAGTTGTTACACTGATTTGCATGTTAATAGATTTAACAGCTATGGTGTGTTTGTTTAACCTCTAGCAAGGTTTCGCATCCATTGAAGTTATATAGCCTGAATGAGGATCAATATGGGCTTTTATGTAAATGGTATAAGATAGCCTACTTTTAAACTAAAAATAGTTGCTTCAGATGGAAGCGAATCAATGACAATTTCAACATTATGGTGGATATGGCTCCACTGTACATTAAGCCAGTCCTTTCAATTTTTTACACCTTATACACATCCGGTTTCTTAATGATTAAAATAAAGTGCCCGTTTGCATCCTGAGGGAACTGACAACTAGGCAGGGATGATTGACAGGTGAAACTGTTCCAATCCATGGCTTTGACGCTCATGCAATACGCTGTGAACTGTAAGGCAACGTTCTCAAATTTCCCCTTCTTACCCCTTAATTCAACAATCTCTGCATAAAACA